TAAGTATTAAAATCGCACACATATGTACTTGAAGTCTAACTCTGGATATTCCGCATTAATATGCGCGACATTAGTGTTTAAGATGCGTGGTCTAAAACGACAATGTGCCCTTATTTATATTTCAACTCTTTTCAATTAAACAGTGAACATGTCTAAATCTTAACATGGCTCAACATATCAGGCAATGCTAAATGTGGATTAATTAATGAAACGTACGCAAGAATGTGAATAGAATAATACCTGTTTGTTGAATATGTGGCATCAAAAGAGACAACATCTCCAAATGCAGCAAAATTCTTTTTTGACATTGGATCTGTCCAAAACAGTCTACTCATCTGCTCATCTTCATCAACTTCGTAGTCAAAAGCAAATGCAGGGCACATCTCTTGTTTTTTAATAAGATTATGCACCAGTATTTGTGCATCAGCTCCCAATATGTATGCTCTGAGATCCCTTCTAACATTTTTAAAGTCAACTACAGTTGCCCCAACTTCAGAGTAATCCCCCACAATATGACTGTATAAACCTTTTGATTTTGATGCTCCAATATTTGCTTTAGCACAATCTAGTATAAACTTCTGATGAACACTGGAGATGTTTCCATTTCCCTTTAGAAACTGCCTTGCCAGAACCAAAGACATGCTGTGATTATGTTTTTCAATAAATGTCGTAACTTGGTACCCAGCTACTCCAATGTACTTAAAAATAATCCTAGCTCTGCAACCAGTTCTGTTTGAAACCCTCCGCCGCTTTGGACGGGAAGGACCTTCCCCTGCATCTGCATTTGATATCGAGTGACAATGTTGAGCTCCTGTATTCTTAAATCCCTCTCTATTGCAAACGATTTGCTTTTGAGTTTTCGTCCCGTCGCGTGCTGTAACGACGGAACTAGACCTTGTGTCAAACCTGACTTTGGCAGCATAATGATTGTAGAATTCAATACAAGCATCTAATGTTTTAAAAATCATGTTAACCGCTGGTTTCATTTCATCTTCACAGTGCGGAGTCCAATACTGTGTCATTCCAGGAGATATGGTCAATGTATAACCATTGCTGCTGCTGCTGGGACTCAAACTGGGGTTGTTCGTAGATTGAATTTCACTGGGAACTGTAACGTATAAGTATGAAGTTATTATTGCGTTGTTCCAAGCCTCTACGTACGTAATGTGAATACTTAATATGCGTTAATTTAATCAGATCATTGTCAATATGACAGATTTATAAAATACAAGAGTATGTGCGGCAAATGAGCAATTAACGTGCGTCAGGGTAATAGTTAATGTGCGTATGTTGAACAGTTAACATGCGTGAGTGTTTTTTAAAATGTTAGGTCATTACTTAACGTGTGTCAGTGAGTCCATTAACATAAACATGCGTCTGGAAAGGACTGAACGTGCGTGTGCTTAACGGATAACATGCGTGAGGGTTGTTTAAAATTTTAAGCCGCTAATTAACCGGCATTAGTGAAAATAGTAATATGCGCATTTATAAAAATTAACATGCGGCTACCTAATCATCTACGTGCGTAAAGATCTAGGCTCGGAATAATTAAAGTAGGTCAGTAATTCAGTGGTTAAGTTGCATGCATGTAGTGTTTAATGTGCGTGTAATTAAGACAAGAAGGAGGCCAATACCAATGCAGATAAAATTAATTTCAGAAAAGCGATAGAATTTGGGTAATACCTTGATCGAATTCTTCCATTCTTGATCGGTTGACTTTTTGCTGGGTTTAGGGTTTATTTTGACGAATAAGATATTGAACGACGAAGAGAATAGATTTTATTGCCAATTCCATAGAGATCGCAAAATCGTCTGAGATTAGGAAATATCGAAAATTAAGAATCAATGGTGAATTTTGAAAACGCGCAAAGAAGAAGAAGATCAGAAATTTTGATTTTTTTAATATAATCAAAAGGACCAAAATGCCCTTAATGAGCAATTCGCGTGTATTTTTTGCTGTTAATCTGATTCGTTGGATCAAGAGTTACGTGAGGCTTAAATTCAACCTCATTTTTTACGGGAAGGACTAAATGCACGTGAGCCCTGCACTTGAGAAGCTGGATTTCTTTGATTGTGGAGAGATTAATAAATTTGTGATCAGCGCTTCAAAACTTGAAATGTTGTCTGTTCGACATTTTGTGCATGATATGGTTGAATCAAGATGGTTGACACCACATTTGAAAGCAATTAAGGCTCTTTGCTTGTCTGGCTCTTCCTTGCCGGTGAGAATCTAATCTACCTCATTTTACTTTATGCAAATGGATGGCCGACATATTTAATTTAATTAGTTTCCTTCTGGCTTAATTGTTAAAGTTCTTAATTGTTTGCCTAATTTTTTTCTTTCCTTATTACCATCTTTCAAGTATATGGACACATCTTTGTTTGCAACTGCAATAAATCTCCAAGTGCTGCGGTTCGATGACTTAAGTTTTGGTTGTGGGAAGCAGCTCACTGTTGTTATGCAATTACTTCAAAAATTCCCTAACCTATGTGAACTGGGAATTATGGTTGATCAGGTTGAGTATACATTTAATTTCGCATTCATATGCATATATGATTCTTCTGTTTTTTATTTCTCAAATGTCCTCAGAGTTGTGCATGTCTTTCATTTCTTCTTGAGTTATAGGTAGTATGCGACCGTGATATAAAAGCTGCTTAAAGACTTTTGGAGGATCCAAATGGTTGCTTTATTGTTCAGGCTCTAAAGATGCTTAATACAATCAAGATTGAATCATTTTTTGGATTCACAGTCGAAATGCGTTTTATAAAAATGATACTCTCAAAATCTCCCGCACTAGAGAAAGTTTTTAGTATGGAATCTGGTGATATTGACAAATCTGTAGCTGCCAAAAGCCAAAAGGAGTTGTTGCGTTTTCCTCGTGCATCTCCAAAAGCCCAAATTGTTTGCATGGAACACGTTGAATCCATGTTGGGCTATGGGCGAATTTTCTTGTTAGTGTGTGCCGATTGCCCAAAGATGCAAAGGTGATAAAAGCGTAGCTCTGGTGAACATGATAAATGACATTCGATCTCTTGCGCCATGCCGTCTGCCGTATTAAGAAATTTACTCTATGCACTCCCTGTGGAGTAAGAAACTGATCCTATAGAGTATATATTTGGCAATCATGATTTTCTTTTTTCTTAATTTCCTCATGGTTGTACTTAATTTTCATTGCTTGTTGAGTTGTAGACATGTTTATCTGATGAGATTTCATTTTCGGAGGATCTTATTGATCACGATCTAAAGATCCTTTACACATTGAAGATTATATTGAACTGTTTTAGTGCATTCACAATCGAATAGTATTTAGTGAAAATGTTGATCTTTAATGTAAATCACTTGGATAAAGTTGTTATTCAAGAATCATATGATCTCGACTCCTCCATGGTAGTCAAAATTCCAGATAGTTGTTGGCTTCCCCTGTGCATCTACAAAAGTACAAGTTGTCTACATTGACTACAAGTTTTGGTATAGAGTGGTTGGCTTCCCAGATTTTACGAATTGAGTATTGTGTAGCTCCTTTGCATGGTTTAAAGTAGAAATGTAATTAATGGTTGTCTTGAATTGTTGTAAACATTTGTAAGATGAGGATGACATCGTATTTTGCTAAGCAGTAGACCTGAAGAATGTCTCCCTTGAATGTATTTAAGTACTAGACTTTGTCTCGGATGATGATAGTTTGATAGGTATAAGGTGATTGCATTAATATAGTTTCTTCTATCTTGATTTTGGTGTTCGATTTAAGGTTGATTTAGAAATCCGAAAAATGACTTCTAGAAGTTATTTTTCAGATTTTCAAATGTTTGGCTACTCGAAGAAATTAGAGTCAACAGAAAAAATGCATTCTAATCACACCACCACCACCAACATGACCACAACACCACTACTACCACTACTAAACCACCGCCACCACATCACAATATTATTATTATTATTATTATTATTATTATTAATATTATTATAACAACAAATAATAAGTTCATTTTCAGGAAAATGAACTAAACAAAAAAAAATATATAATTTCTTAAGTTTTAGTCAAACTGAAAAAGATAGTTTTTAACCATCTAATCTAACTCTATAATAAAGCAAGAAGTTTTGCCAATCATTGTTTCCCGCCCAATTGATACTGCATCGTTTTAAGATGAAAACTCAACAGCCGAATTAATTGTGGCCTAATATTGTCTATTACCGATGTAAATTAATAGACTTCTAATAGTCAAAGAGTTTTACATTGAGAAGCTAACCTATAATCTACATTTATTTACATATATAAAGGTACAGATATACACATACGGCTGTTACACATCTCTATACGAGAAAATGCTTCGAAAAAATTATCTATTGAATGTAATCTTGGGTCTTGAAACGTTTCCAGCAGCCTTCATAGTTCCAAGACAATATTCAAAATTGGAAAACAAATTTCAGTCTCTATATAAAGCTTGATATCCATAATCACTCACAAGTTCACCATCTCTCCAGTTCGAACTACCTGCAAGTATGCAAACAAAGAACCAAAAATCTGGGCAAAGATACTATGTCATCTCAGTATTGATAAAACACAGGTGCTTGAAGATTACAGTGAGAACACCTGCGAAGCATATTTTTTTGGAAATTCTCACCTATATTATCTACTAACTAATTATTCAGTGTTTTTTTTGTTTTGTTTAATTACTACTATATATTCATGTTTGGTTTCTATTTCTTTATCTAATTTTTTGTATTAGACTATTTGTTTCTGTGGAGGAGGATACTGAGGAGATGAAGGAGCAGACGCACAAGGAGATGGGAAAGGTATACACTTACAAAAGCCATGGTGCTTAATACCTTCTTTTAAGTCAGATTAGCCCCACACAAGAACAGCAATCAAAGTTTGGTTGGTCAAAACCTATCAAATCCTTGAAATGTCTGCAGGAATAACAAGTGATGAAGAGGTAAATTTAGCAGAAATTTAAATATTTAGTTTTTTTGATTCATTATTATGAGCATAACATTGTTTTTTTCCTATATTTAGTGTACATACATAGAGTAAAGCTGCAGATTCAATAAAGCTCTGCATCCTCTTACTTTTTCTTGAAAAATAATGGAATACTGTAAAAATAAAAAACTGCATATGCAGATCGCTAACATATATTGTTTCTATACAAATGTCATGACAGCAAGTAGTAATTACTAGCTACAACGCTTAACAGGCAGTATATATATAAATATATAAGATTGTATTTACAAGCATGAATCACAAAAGATTTTTAGTTGCAAGCAATCAGGTCAAAAAGTGAAAATGCACTACAAACAGAAATGAAAAAGCTTAAGGGATCAGTTTCCATAGGTTGCACGAAGAAGAACTATATAGATGCAAATAAAGGTTCAATTCTGAGCATATACCTGATTTTACCTGAACAAAAAAGTTTATGTTTTGACTAAATATTTTACAATGTTTGCAGGTTTGTGATTTTCGTCATGTGAGTCCATAGGATGCCGTGATAAACTAACAGAAGATAAGAGAGTGAATACAAAAATCTAATTTGGTTTATTAGTTTGTGGACAATTCTTTTTTAGATGAAAAGTCAATTTATTTTGTATTTAGTCTACACTATTATGTAGTTGTATGTTTAACAGGGGAAAGAAGAATGGAAATGTAGAAGGGATAAAGAACCATGGGTGCAAGATAAAGCATCTAAAGGTATCATGAAATAAAAAATGTTGTGATGGCCTTAAACTTCATTTAATGTTATCGTATTTTTTTTTAAAGATTTTGAGCTCTGCCTTACTTGTGACTAACTTCTGCAGTATATTCAAAAGAAAACATTAAGACTTCAAAAATTCTAACATTTTTTTGTAATGTATATTTGAATTTTATATTTGATTAGCTTAATGGTGTGTGGCTCAACATTCATCACTAAAATGACAGCCACCAACAGTTGAAATGGATTGAAAACAAACATTGTCAAGCATTGGTTGAAGAATGGAGTCAAGAAATAGGCCAAAATTATGGTGTATTAGTACCCTTATTTATATGTATACTTTGTATTGATTTATTTATGTGAAAATAGACTATGGACATTATTTATATTTGCCAAATTCATATGAATATGCATGTAAATAACACATTATGCATTATACTAATTCAATAAAATATTTTTAAAAAAATAGTTGAACTCAATAACTCAAAAAAATAACACTAAGAAAAGTCATGAAAAAAATTAACAAAACCAATTGGCAGGAACACTATAAGCATAAAACCAAACACTTAAATTTGATTATTCAGATAAAAAAACATTATTTAAAAAAAAATTGCATTACACTTATAGTTTTTTCATACATAAATCACCAAATTGGTAAGGCAATTTGAAATAGTAAGATTAATTAATTGCAATGTCACTCAATCCTTTATTTTTTAAAAATTATCTTTAAAAAAAGTTTTTTTTTAAAAAAAAATATACTGAATTTACAAACATTTGCAGTGTCATTTTTTAAAAATAAGTCACATTCACTTTGACACATTAGCAGATACATAAATAAATAAAGTTTTTTTTTTTTTTTTGGACTACACAGGCAAATTCCTCAACCAATTGTCAGTTAGGCAAAAACTTAGGTAAAAACAACTTAGCAGTTGTTAAAGTCAATATAGCACATTATTAGGGTAACATAGATCCATGAACTACAGAATGTAGGTAACACACAGATAAGTGTATATTAAACTGCCCAAATGTATTCTGCTACAAATGTATAATTCATTTCCAAAACAGATAAGTTAAACTAACATGCATCACAAAATAAAACAATGATATGACAAAAAAAATTACGAAAATGGACAAAAAAATATAGCTGATGAACTCATCTGTTAGGGATTTCTTGAGCTAGGGTTTTTAACCAACATCGCGAAATCACGTAGACGAAGAATCGTAGATGACAACCCAGTTTTAGAGTCTTCTGTAACAAAAAATGGGTAAATAATCTGAGATTAGAGGTTGGATCAATGGATTAGAGGCTTTGAACAAATGTTCGCGATAACGGAATTATAAGGTTTAACAAAGAGTATAACAAGGATAACGGTTGAATAGACGGATTTTAGAATCATTCTACAACCAAAAATTGGACAAAGAGCTGGAATACTAGAGTAGAGAGCAAGAGAGAGGGGAGGGCTGCAAGTGATGACAACATATGACTTTTATACTCCAGTCTGTTGGGTGGGTTGCATCTGTGCATTTGGATCAGTCAGCATCATCTCGGTTATGGGCTTGAATCTGTTCTTCTAATTTGGGCTGTAGAGATGAATATATATAAGCCTAGAATAATTAGTTATGTTATGTGGATTGGAATGATTTTTTTAACTTACAAAGTTAGATTGTCTAATAATAGGATAATTACTTATGTTATGTGGATTGGATCATAGTATAAAATGTATATCAGCTGTAAAACTTTATTATTATTATTATTGGTGATGTTACTATTGTATTATTTTTAGTTTTATTATTATTAGTATTAACATGTACTGTATTATTCATAATTTATACATTTTAGTTAATATTATATAGTTTATTCAAGCTATACAATGTTTTTAATATTATAAAATTAATGTATAGAACAATTGTTGATAAAACAGTTGTTTTTTGTGGCGATTTCAGTCAAATTTTACCAGTCATTCCAAAGGGTACCTGACAGGATATAGTTCGAGCGAGCATTAGCTCATCATATCTCTGGAAATCCTGTAAAGTTTTAAGGCTTACTAAGAATCTACGATTGAGAAGTGTTCAATCAGAAAACGAGGGTAAGGAGATCGAGGAATTTGCAAAATGGATAGCTAATATAGGTGACAGAATAATTGGTAGTCAACGTGATGGTGAGTCCGAGATTACTGTTCCAGAACATTTGTTGTTGAAGTGCGAGGATGACCCTATTGCTACAATTGTTGATAGCACATTCCCTAATTTTTGACTGGGAATTGGCGATTTGTCATATCTTAATGATAGTGCAATTTTAGCTCCAACATTGGATGTGGTAGATGCCGTTAACCAATATATGAATGATCATAATCCGGCTGAGGGTAAGACATACTTGAGTTGTGATTCTGTGTGTAAGTCAGATTCAAATGTTAACATGTTAGCGGATTTGCACACTTCGGAATTCTTGAATGCCTTGAGATGTTCTGGAGTACCAAATCATGCTTTTACCTTGAAAGTTGGATCACCTGTTATGCTATTGCGAAATATTGATCACACACTAGGATTATGCAACGGTACAAGGTTGATTGTTACAAGGTTAGCTGACCACGTGCTGGAAGGCCAGATCATGTGCGGTATAAATGCAGGAACCAGAGTATTGATTCCTAGAATGTCACTTACACCGTCAGATCCAAGATTGTCTTTCAAATTTCAACGAAAGCAATTTCCTTTGATGCTATCCTATGTCATGACAATCAACAAAAGTCAAGGACAAACACTTGCTAAAGTGGGATTGTTGTTGAAAAAACATGTCTTTAACCATGGACAACTGTACGTAGCTGTTTCAAGAGTTAGTAACCCCAGGGGTTTGAAAATTTTGATTTGCGGGGAAAGTGTACCATGTCTTAATACGACTAAAAATGTTGTGTACGTACAAAGAAGCCTTCAGTAATGTATAATAACATTCAAGAATTTATTATTTAAAATTTAGTATTTTTTTAAATACTATGTTTCTTATTCTTATTATATTATACGTAATATTCTATGTATTATATAAGTAGCCATGCATCACATTATTTCAACAATAAAGTCTTCAACAATGTATAATAAAATTACTATATTCATCAATGTGTAATAAAATCACAAGTTTTCATTTCACATTTTGTCAGGTTCAAATAACTATATTCTATACTGTATATATATCATACTATATATATAGCCGCGCATCGCGCGGGTTCACCTACTAGTTCAGTTAAATACCAAAAAATTAAAATATTTTTTGAAAAAATAAGTCATTTTCTAGAAAATATTTTTTAAGGACCCCATTGTATATATAGTTAGGTACGGTGAAGGTCACATTTAAAAAAAAAAAAAATTTAACTTCAAAGAAATTCTTTTTATTTTTTACTTTTTCACAACACATGAAACATGTAGAGAAAAAACTATCACTACTAAATATCAATAGGTGTTTGTAAGATAAAGATTTCATATTACGACTAAAATCTCAGTCATATACACAACAAGAAAAATCTAAAGCTTCCTACACCATAATCTCATTGCATGATGTATCCCTCTGCCACCAGTAACCTAATTGAACATGACACACTACAAATAAAAAAAAAAAGAGGACATGTACTGAAGATGAAAACAATGATAATGCTACCCAAAAGAGAATTAAGAAGAATTAAAAAAAATTTTAAACCAAAAAAGTCGTATTTATTTAGACTATCGCTTTAAGACTAAGTATTTAGACTAGCGTTATTACAAAGTTGTAAACATTTATTTTAGTAACAATTATAATCAATCTCTCATATATAATCTTGAATTTATATACTTTAAATTTCCGATTTAAATAAACAAATTCAACATTTATTTACCTGCATAAACATCTGCTATATAATATTGTATTGATATACTTTGAAATACTTATTTAAAAATAATCATTGGACATTATCCCATTCGCGCAAAGCGCGTAAAAAAACTAATGATGTAATAAAGGCCAATAGTGCGCTAATTTGAAATTTGAATACACAAATACACAATGTTCTTGGTTAACCTCGACTGACAAAGAACCTATGTTTGCTCCTATAGTTATTTAGATCCTAAGTTACAACAATCCGATTTAGATAAGTGGTTTCTTCTTCTATTAATGGTATACTGCTAAAACAAACATCTTTTTATTATTATATCATACATATAAGTTGCATGCTAGTTTGTATTATCTTGTGCACAACAATATAATTAAGACACATAAGCTCGATAGTTTTCTTTTTGACTTCTTGATAAATATTGAATGTATATTTCCTAGATCACTTTATTAGTTCTCGAGCATGTTTGGTTTGAAAGTGATGCTAAAGGTTTTTTTATTTTTTATTATTTTTTTTTTTGATGCATGACAAGAGAAACGTGTCACCATTTTTATGTGTCTATGCATACCTTAGGCCATGCATTGCTACTATTATCTCTCTTAAGAGTGAAAATGTTGAAGTAGATGCAATTGGTTTAGTAAATCTACAACCCAAATACTCTTTGTAAAAATGTTGCTCTTAAAATCTCCTACTGTAGAGAGAGTTGTGGATCTACTAGTTTCTATAGTCTCTTGCCCAACGAAAACTTTGAGGTTTCCTCTTAATTTAAGTTGTCAGCGGTAATTGCTTGTTGTACCTTTATGGGCATTGCATTGTCATCATCATTATTGTGTCGTCGTCGTCAGCATGTTGTTGCATCTTTTGCAAAACATTTTAGAATACATTATTATACCACACTAAAAAAAAAATACTCCATTCGTCTCATTTTATGTGTCTGGTTTGGTTAACGAGGCTTGGCTGAAGTTATTTGTAATCCAATATTTCATAATATTAAGTTTAGTATTAGTATAAAAAATTTATATATTTAGAAACTACACTAAAATTATGTACTATTAAACACAACAAATTAAATTTAAAAATAAGTAAAAAATACGAAAGAAAATAAACAAAGAATAAAGAGTTGGTTTGACCAATGAATAGTAGGTAGGACAAATGAAATGAGACAGAGGGAGTAATACATTATTATAATTTAATATTTTATTGCCAGCATTTGTCACATATACTGTCAATTCAAAATACAAAACAATCACAATCAATAGTGATTGCAAATTTCTTTTGTCAAAACAACAACAACAACGACAACGATGACGACGACGATGACAAGAAGAAGAAGAAGTATCACAATGCTACTACTCCAATCTCAATTATCTAATAAATAATAATATCCCCTAAGAAAGAAAATAATAGGACAAACTACTCCTTAACCTTTTTTTTTTGAAAGTAACTACTCCTTAACCTTAATTACCCCATTAAATTAAAGAAGCGAAAAGCTTGCATATGTTACTTCGATCTAATGGCTAGTTGTTGTTGAAGAAAATCTGTATGAATTTCAAGAAGTGATTTTATAAGTGAACTGCGTGCTAACAGATATAAAGGAATGAAAATTGGATCGGAGTGGTTTCCCTCTCGAGATGCTACTAGAACTCGAGAGGGATGTTTTGATATAAAGCAAAGCTAGCTTATGAACTTATTTTGATATAATTGATTAGTTGAGTTGTGCTTCGGGAGCATAATATATTATTTATAATTCGAAGGAAAAGTTCTCAAAATAACCTTGAAGTGTGATGAACTTAGCATGAACTCATGAAATCAGATGGCTAAGCAGTAAGGAAAAGGAGTGTATTGAAGATGAATGATGAGAAGAACTGTTGTGTTTGTTACAAGAGAAGAAAGAGCACACAGCTTAGGCTATATACGCAGGAGGCAGTTATAACTGCTAAACACAAGGGGAAAAGACCATAAAGCCCTTCCTTAATAACTAACTTCAACTACCACACTGTTGACAATATGTAGACTGCTCCTGCTTCATCAACTGCTTCTAGATTCCTTCATCACCCACCGGTAAGCTGGAGCATGAAGATCCTAAAGGCCCAGCTTAACATGAAAGTGATCAAAGAAAGGCTTAGCTAAAGCTTTAGTAAAACCATCAGCCACTTGATTGTTTTAGGCAACAGATAATAGCTTAACTATTCCATCATGCACTTTTTGTCTCACAACATGGCAGTCTATTTCAATATGCTTAGTGCGTTCATGAAAAACATAGTTCTCCCCTATAGCTATAGCAGATTTGTTGTCACAAAACAAAGCAACAGGGGTGTCAAAGTTGATCTGCAAGTCTGCCATCAAATACAGAAGCCACTGAATCTCACAAGTGGTGGAAGCCAAAGCTCTATATTCAGCCTCAGAAGAGGACCTTGAGACTGTGACTTGCTTTTTAGCCTTCCAAGATATCAAAGATTGTCCAAGGTAGATACAATAACCAGTGATGGATTTCCTTGTTTCTATACAGGAAGCCTAATCTTAATCAGAAAATGCCTGCAGCCTTATAGTGGAATCTGCTGGATAGAACAAACATGTTCCAGGTGATCCCTTGAGATATCTTAGGACTCTATGAGCAGCAACCAGATGAGTGTCCTTAGGCTTATCCACAAATTGACTTAGTTGTTGAACAGCAAAGGATATATCAGGCCTGGTGTTTGTGAGATATAGAAGTTTTCCAATCAATCTTCTAAAAACTTCAGGTTTGTCAAGAGGCTTTCCTTCCAAAGAAGTTAATCTCTGTCCAGTGTTGAAAGGTGTCCTTGCTGGTTTAGCTTCCAAGAAGCCATTCTCTTTCAGAATCTCCAAAGTGTATTTTCTCTGGCAGAGATTGAGACCACTGGCTGTTTTGTATGCTTCTATTCCTAAAAAGAAATTAAGATGGCCTAGATCCTTGATTTTGAAAGATCTATCTAGGAAAAGCTTTAAATCATCAATCTGTTTAGAACTTGGCCCTGCCACTAGGATGTCATCCACATAAACTAATAAAGCTGTGAATGATGAACCTGAGCCTCTAATGAATAGTGAAGGATCAGCAGAAGACTGGGAAAAACCAACTTCCAGCAGAGCTTTGGTTAGTTTGGCATTCCACTGCCTACTAGCCTGTTTAAAACCATATAGGGATCTTGACAACCTGCATACTTGTCCAGGCTTGTTACTCTGAAACCCTGGTGGCAATAGCATATAAACTTCCTCATCTAAATCACCATGAAGAAAAGCATTATTGATATCTAACTGTTGAATATCCCATTTCCTTGCAACAACTATGGCTAGAAAAGTTCTGATTGTGGTCATTCTTGCCACAGGAGAAAATGTCTCCAAGTAATCCACTCCCAATTGTTGTGTGTAGCCCTTAGCAACCAGTCTTGCCTTATACCTCTCTATTGAACCATCATCTCTATGCTTCACTTGATAGACCCATCTGCAGCCAATAGGGACTTTCCCAATTGGCAAATCTGTTATGGTCCAAGTGTTATTCTCTACTAAGGCTTTTATCTCAGCATTCATTGCTTCCCTCCATGGTTTGTGTTGTACAGCCTCAGTATAAGACTCAAAACTTTTTTATTTCCAAGGCTACATTGAGACCTTCTAAATTGACCAAAAAATTCAATTGAATCGTAATATTAAACAAATTAGGTGTTATTATTGATTGATTTGGCTAACAAATGACCTCCAAATTCTCTTGCACGGTGATGGTCCAGGCCAATCGGTTAAGAAATTTACTTTGCACATTTCCTGCTGGAAAGATCCTAAACTGCAGCAATCTGAGGGGCTTGTGTATGCACAAGATTGGATGAGGTTGGCCATGTTAGAATAATAATAATAATAATTATTATTATTATTATTATTATTATTATTATTATTATTATTATTATTCTATGGCTCATAATTAAATATTTATTAATATTTAATAATGAAGATAATTTCTGTGATTGGCCAGTTAAGAAGATAAGAATGCAGTTTCAACTGCATATCATCAGGTTTACGTTGATGGAACGTATTATTTATATTTCATATATATATGAGACTCTGGTCCTCTCCCCAACCTATCTAAGAACTAAAACTCTTCATCAGAGAATTAGATTAAGTGAATGCTAAAGGTTTGGAGAGAGAAACCAAGTTTCTAACTCAAGCAACTACGGGAAAACAATGGAGCCAGGTATGTTCCCTGAAAACTATTTTACTGTATGTGAAAAACATGTGTCCTGAAGATCTTGTATTAAGTAGGTATGACTTACATGTGGTATCATGAGCCTGGTTGTAGAACATATATTTTTCCATATATTATGATGAAACAACTTATTTACCCAGGTGAAATATGCAGTGATAATTACAGTGATGATTACGTATGTGGTGAAGCATTTTCGTATATGTTTGTTGTAAGCATGTATGTACTTGCCAAATCTTTCACCTGATGGATTAGAGTTACATACTGCATATGCATTTGCCGCATGGTTTTCTAAAGAAAAGAGGGTGTCATTCGTTGTTTTTTATGCTTATATATATTATGAATTTCCTACTGTAATTTGATGATGTTAAGTTTTTCGTATGGTGCAGTATATGTTTCCTCATAAATATTAATTAATTTGTTTACAGTATCATGTTTTCTAATTAGATAGATTAGAGCATAAATGATTAAACAATATTAGAATTTAAGGCACCTTAATGAAGTATCTTATACTGCACATGTTTATAATTATTGTGTTTGCAGCATGGTTTTTAAAAGGATGAGAAATCATGGTGCATGTGTTTATGGCTTCCGCAATATTATTGCAGATTAATTTGTTAATTAATTATGTGTTAATTGTGTATGTAGATTAATTTTCTAATTCTCTGTAGCTAACATGATTGGTTTGTATGGTGGTTTGGAACCTTGTCCTTTAAATTTGAGATGAGGGGTTCAATCCCCACCCGTGTAAATGAAGTAAATCATTTGGCTTGCATTTTAGTTATAATTATGTATGTGGATATTTTATGATATTATTTATTATATCATATCCACTTAACTTGGTATCTAATTATGATTAATTTGTTAGTCACCAAAGTGGCCAAATTATAAAGTTTTAATAGATATCAAATTTAAATAAAATTCAATTACCCATGATTATGTGATGCTTATAATGAGATAACATGATTTTATTTTCTATAGTATTGGGTAAATTGAAGTTTAATAATTTTGAAATATTTAAGAGTCGCCCAAAGGTGATCAATTATTTCATAATTATAAACATAATAGTGGTTAATTATTTATATTTGATTGGGTTATGCAGCATATCCAAAGATAGCAAACAAGTCCAGTCATAATATATTTAATAGCCAATTATATGAATTTTTTTTTTGCATCGGATTATGTTTAAAGTTATATGTTGTTGGATCACCCAAAGGAGACCTTCAATGTACTTAATTGTTTATGATTATGTTGATTAAATCTGT